CGCGGGGGGGGGGGGGAGTCACCTGGCAACCGATCACACTGACTGAGGGAGGGGTTCCTCTGCAGCTGACCTCACCAACAGGAGGGGGAGGGGTGGTGCCCCTTCCCCTGGAGGCCTATCACACTCACTAAAAAGCAGCCCAAACCACTTCTGGAAGTCCCCCCTGCCTGTTGCCTAAACAGGCAGCATGGCCTGACGGGGAGTGCACGTGCACCCACCACACGTCACCATCTGCTCACAGGGACAAGTCCTTGAGCCAACTACATGCTGCCTTTCTGCAATACATCTGGCTGCAGCCTGATGTCTGCTCCAGTCTCGGGGCCTGAACAGACAAACCTGCCCTGCAGCGTAATCTATATCTGTCCTATGTACAGACATATGTTACACCAGGATGAGGGTAGCTGTCCCAGGGTACCACAATTTCTACCACCTTTTCTTATCCCTGATCCTCAATGGATAAGGAACAATGAAAACTCATCTGTCATACTTAAGCAGATTGAGAAATTTTACTTCCTATTAAGTTCCCTCTCTTGTGATCAGATTTACTTGATGAAAAGACTCTACAATATTGCCTACACTTTTCTACACAAGAGGATAATTACAACTCAAATCCACAGTACTTAATATTATGTCTCAGAATTTCGCTCTGAGCAGTTCATGAACATGTATTTCATTCTACACAATTGTGTTTTGTTATATAACTAGACAGAATATCTTTTTTTGCAAAATCCAAAGAAAAAAAGCATAGATGTAATTCAGGAACTTGTCAGTTTATGGAAGGAAAGTGACAGACCCCTCACTTTCCCCTCAGGAAAAAAACAAAACAAAACACTTATTTTGGGATATCAAATTCAGTCTGATGAAAAAATGTATTTAAATTAAACTTAAAAGGCCACTGAACAAAGTGACTTCACTTATTCCTGGAAAGCTTCAAGTTCCTGAAACCCTACTGTCCAAACATTAATGCATTCTATGAACGCACAGTTTGGGAATGTGCGGGGGTCAACATCAAAAGCAACGGGGCAGAGTTTATGTTAAACAGTTATTCCATGAAAGACATGTATAAATAATAAAAATAGGAGAGGTAGTCTTGATTCAACCAGGACAATTCTCCAAGTTTTTAAATACACAAAAAAAATCCTTACACTGTGATTCACAAAATGGGACACATTTCCATATCGAGCTGCATCTACTGTAAATTCATCCGAGTCATAGTCCAGATCAAACAAATACGTATTTCCTTGGTTGTCATACAGTTGGCCTCGTCTCTCTGCTTCCTCGCTTGTAATGACCTAAAAAAAGAAACCTGCATCATATTATTAAGTATTACTAAACTAAAAGATAATGACAAAGTTGGAAATAAATTATATGTTCTTGAACAGAACATGAACAGACCAAAATTAGACTCACTCACCCTCTATGTATAAGAGGGTTACTATGTTTCTAAGGAATAAGGAACACTACAGTCCATTGATCAAGTTCAACTGATTAAATACCAATTGTACAAAGCTTCATCAATGCCCTGTTAGTACACAGCGATAGCATTTCTCCTCCAGCAACAAAACACTGGACGGTTTCTTGAACATATATTTACAAATAAATGATGCACCATTGCTTTCTACATGACAGAACACAAAACTAAACAAAAGATCAACTGTAAAACTCTGAGGCTACTAGCTATATCTTAGCTATCTCTTTCTAGGAATTCCAGTAAATCCTCACAATACTGTTCTTAGTTAATACCAACACTGTTGTCAGTAACAGAGCAAAGACTGTGGGAGAAATGTGAAGACACCAGGTCAGAGACATAATCAGAAACTGAACATGAAAGGTTCCCAAGCAAGGACTAGTAGCTGAACTTCATAAGCAATGCAGTAGGAAGCCAGTGCAATGACTCAAGGATTATGTCTAGACTACAAAAGCAGGCTCCTTGATGCATGATAAAGAACAAATTAACATAATTTTAAAAGGGATTTTGTGCTTAATGAAAATAAGACATTAAAAAAAAAAGTCATAACTGGTTGTTACCAGTTAAGAATCTGGCCTTAACTGGTAACAACCAAGACTAATATGTCCTAAAACGCAATCTACGTTTCAGGTTTAGGCATGGAAAAAAGGGATTGATGCCATCAATGTAACTGGTAACAAAGATAACAGTAATTTAGACTGGGATAAGATCATAACCAAAAGAACAGTTGAAGATTTCTGTATTCAAGAAAGAGATGATCAGAAGAGGGACAAGGAATCTGGCCTGGAGAAAAGAAAGGAAGTATGTTTGAGACGTACTGATTAGTTAGGACCTAGCTCAAAGGGTCGTGCCATAACAAAACTGGGGGCCAAAATTGTCTTTATTTCAGTCTCTCTGAATCACTCTGGTGTGGCTACACAGTATACCAGCAATTTATTCTTGACCGACATTTTTTCAGTGTATTCCTTTAACTGTAAAAGTATACTGGCTTACTACATGGCAGAATCAAGAAGAGCAAAAAAATAAAAAACCCCCACAATTATTAAAAAGTCCCTCTTCTGAAACAATAATGCTTTTACTCCATAATTCACCTACATGAGATAAATACATACCTCTCCAACATATTCCATCACAAAACTGTTTGTTTTAATTTTCTGGAGGGTTTTTACTCCCCAGCCACGGCCATTGTTAGTTCTGAAGATGCAAAGAGAGTAAGGTGTGCCTTTCTGTACTATCCTGTTAGGACAATCAGGACCACATCTACAGAATGAGTTGCACTCATAGATGGGCAAACCCGGTTGGATTTTTAACTGCCTATATTTATTGTAAGCCAAAAGACATCCAGCCTCCTTGGGACAACATTTCTCAGCAGGGCAATCAGAGCATTCACAGCCAGTTGTGATTCCATTGATCACATTTATTCCTGGAGCAGGCTTATATTCATTAATGTAGTAAAAGTCTAAAGGAGGACCCTCAAGATCCACAGTGTTTTCTACAAGAATCATTCCTTTATGGTTCTTCTTCCTGTTGAGTTCTTCTTTCCATCTCTGTAGAGCTACTCTTTGTTTAGCTTTCTTTACAATGTAATCTGCTACTGCAGGTTTCAAAGCCTTGCCATGTTTTCTCATTATTAGTGCCTTCCCTTGCTTTGCTCGAGATAAATATTCATTCTGATCATTATGAAAGTTTTGGAGGAGCAATGGGCATTTAAGATTTTCCAAAGGTTCCCAAGTATTTGTGGATTCTGGCCATCCTTTCCACTTCACAAGGTAGTATTCTGTGCCCTTGAAATACAGAACAATACAAGTTTAGACATAACACTTCTAACAGCTCAGCAAAATTCAATACTTAAAAAAATTAAAGTGGGCTTGTTCAGTGACGCAAATGCTTTGCTATCACATCCATAGTACATAAAATTAAACACAAAGTTAAGGAGGTGGCATAAACACATAGGAACATAAATGGTAATCAACAATGGAAAAATCATGCATTTCATGAGGTAAATGCCATGTACTCTATCATTGCAAGTGAGGCACAAAAATAACTATACAGCTGGGAAAAAAAAACAAACTAAAAACTATTTCCACTAAACCAGTACAGGGTTAATTTACTAAAGCAGCTCTAGTAAAAGTTATATTTACTAACTTCTGTACATGAACGGAGTAACGTAAAATCACAAAAGAACAAAATAAGTCTAAACTTACCAAACAACCCTCAAGAAGCACTATTGTCATAGTTACATACATCATCCTAAAGGAATGATATGTCCAAAACACTTAAGTCTTATGAACTTGGGTTGTACATAACATAAGAACTTTAAATTGTTTTAAAATGGGCCAGATCCTGAAACTGGAGTCACATAAGCAGGCTCTTGTAACTGCAAGTTTCCTCAGTGACTTCAGCAGTGCTCTGGCCATGCTGATCCAGGTACAGCAGCTGGCCCTAGCTGTTTGAAGTGACTACAGTACCAACAAGTCATGGTCCTTTACTTGCAAATAAAATAAAATCAACAAGAGAGCTTTCATTTCAATCATACCATGCTCCGTTATGAAAAGCAGAACCTTCCTTCCATACAACTTCAGAAGCTCAAGAAACACCATTAGGGTTTTTGTTCAATATCAATAGGTGCCTGACCAGAGGCCTGCCCTCACCTACTACTGTCCACCTTAAGCAAAACTCTCTTTCCCCTTCCAAATTGCTACTGATGCATTCTTCAAGTTGCTAAATAAGACCAGACATTTATCTTACCTCTTCTACCTTGTAGCCACACAAATATTCCACCTCATAACTCTTTAGATTCTTGTTGGCGATTCCAATGGATTTACATGTGAGATTCTCCTTCCTACATAATTCCTGGAGGGTCTCATGGGCAGCTAGACATGGCACATACCAAGCTACAATAAGAAAATAGGATTCTTGCCTTAGCTGAGTTGAAAAAGAAAATTCAGCAGATGACTTGTGTTCACTTTCTCCCAAACCCCCAGACTGAAGAATGTAAAAACCGCTATTTGCTGGATCAGACCATAGGTCCATCTTGCCCGGTATTCTGTGTCACACATCCACCAGCCCAGGAAGGATCTGGCTGGGGAGAACCCAGGCGAACTCTCTTCCACTTTACTCCTTCGCTTGTCTCTGGGCAGTTTTACCAGTCAGCACCCACAGGCTCCCTCAACTTGCTCGGGGGCAGCGAGCGCTGGCTCAGGTGCTCCGACAGCTTCCCTCCATACAAACCTCTGAGCCTCACTCCCTTCCCTGTTTCCATGCGATTTCTCCCAAGAAAACTGTTCCTACATCTTTACTGGCCTCCCTTCTCAAAGGAGGCTTCTAGTTTCTGGGTGAGCCTCAGCCCACAACCTCCCTCAGTGCATCCAGCAGCCCCTTGTCGGGCAGCCCAGGAGGCAGCAAGAGTCAGGGAGTCCGAGCGCCACTCCAGCAAGCCTAAAGCCAAGTCGCCAGCCATCCCCTCCGTGCACCTCGGCTTTGTATGTGTGCTCGTTTCTTGATGACCACAGCGACAAGAGCCCGGCTGCCTACCGCACCTCCGCTCTGCAGGTGATTCTGGGCGCCACTGAGCCCGGCTGCCTACCGCACCTCTGCCCTGCAAGCAATCCTGGGCACAGCTTCTCAGTCCTTCAGGCACTCTGTCCTGTCCCCCAACCCATTAAGCACTCTACCCAGCCCCCCCCCCCCCCCCCTTAAAAGCTGTCCCTCCCCCCCCCCTTAACACCTTTT